GATATTCAATAATGCTTGTGTCTTTAAATTAAGCATTTAAGAAAATAATTAACTTCAAATTTACTTTTAGTCTTTAGGTAGTGTAAATCTATATAAAAAGTCAAAGCTCTAGGGGTCACTTAGTCTACCCCAAAATACCATTGCCTAGATTTTTTTTTAATTGAAGAGATCTCTAGTAACATATTAAAACAACTTAAAAACTTTTATGAAGTCATAGTGCTTCTACACACATTCTTGTTGCAATCCAAATGCTTCTTCTCTTTTGTGAAAAAGTATTCAATCTTTCTAAACGGCTGAGTAATTTAGCCACCAGCCTTTTCCTGTGGTAGATGCTAAGTAGGTCTCATATTCTAACCAATATATAATATGAGTCTTTAGGACTGAAAAATAAAGAATTGTTCACTAGTAGTATAGTATATGCATAGGATAATGCGGTAGTTAAGAGCATAATTTTAGCTTCAGTTAGAAGACCAGCTTTTGCTTTCTTAGAAATCGTGCGCTCCCTCAGCGTCTTTCCTCATCTGGAAATGCGATAATACTTGAACCTACTGCACAGAGTTAAAATGAAGGTAAATGGAAATCATGAATATGAAGTGATTAGCACAGTGTCTGCCACACAGTAAGTTCTCAACTGTTATTCTATTGATAAAGTTATCATTTTAATAGTCCAGCCATCCTACTGGATACTTTCAAATACATTCCCCTTATGGACCTAGAAATTTCCATATCCCAGAGCTCTACAGGAAAAGGCAAGTTATGTAACAGCCTGCATTGTTCTGATTCCTTCTTCACTCATTCTGAGGACACTTGAGTCACATCATTTTAAAAAACTTTTCTTTTTCGTTTTATAGATACATAATAATTATAATAATTGTACATATTTATGGGGAGACATGTGATATTCTGATACAAGCATACAATGTGTAATGATCAAATCAGAGTAACTGGGATTTCCACCACCTCAAACATTTATCATTTCTTTGCATTGGGAATATTCCAAGTCTACTTTTCTAGTTATTTTAAAATATACCATATATTATTTTTTAAAATTATAGTAAAATATGCATAACATAGAGTTTTCCATCTTAACTGTTTTTAAGTGTACAGTCAACTGGTGTCAAGTACATTGACATGGTTATGCAACCAACCTCCAAAACATTTTTCGTCTTGTAAAACTGAAACTCTGTACCCGGTAAACACAAACTTCTCACTCCCTTCTCCCCCAGTCCCCTGCCAACCACCATTCTTTCTGTCTCTATGAATTTGACTAATATGGGTACCTCATATAAGTTGAATTACACACTATTGTAATTCAACCTTATGTGACTGGTTTATTTTACTTAGCATAATGTCCTCAAGATTCATCCATGTTGCGGCATGTGTCAGAATTTCCTTCCTATTAAAGGCTGAATACTATGCCATTGTGCATATATGTCACATTTTGTTTATCCATTTATCTATCAATGAACACTTGGGTTGCTTCCACTTCTTGGCTATTGTGAATAATGCTGTTATCAACATGGATGTACAAATACTTCCTCAAGACCCTGTTTTCAGTTCTTTTGGGTATATCCTCAGAAGTGGAATTGCTGCATCACATGGTGATTCTATTTTTGATTTTTTGAGGACCTGACATATTGTTTTCCATAGTGTGAACCACCCTTTTAGGGGTCCTTATCAAGTTCACACAGAGGCCATGACATGCAGCTTCACAGCTGTCCCATCTTGTCTCTTGTTCAGCTTACACAGAGATACCTGCTGTGCAGCTACTATGGGCCAAAGGTTCCCCTGCCCTTCTGCGGACCTTGATGTCTGCCAATATCCTTGACATCTGCCTGATATTCTGTTAGTTAGTGTTGTCTGCACCTTGGGTGGTATCTCTTGTCACAGCCAAGGCTGCCTGTAACAATTAAGGTTTATTGAAGGACATTATGTGACAGGGGCTGAGCTAAGTACTTTGCTCCATTATCTCATTTAATCCTCACCACAACCTTTTAGACTGACCCAGAATACCAGCTCCTTAGACCAGTGTGGTTCTTACACTTGGATGCACATTAGATTCAAGAAAAGGAGGGACTTAGAAAATCCCAATGCCCAGCAGAGGTCCCATGCTAATTAAATTGGAATCTGAAAAGTTTTTACAAAGATCAACAGCTGATTCCAGTTTACAGCCAGCTTTGAGAAACAGGGATTTTAGATCCTTGTTCAAAGTATGGTCTGGCTGATTGAGCAGACCACAAATGCAATCTCTTGTGCAATACCTTAAACCTACTGAATCAGAATCCACATTTTAACAAGAGCCCCCTGGGTTTTGTATGCACATTGAAGTTTGAGAAGCACTGCCTTAGACCACAGAACATTTAACTCAGACAAATAAATCCAGCGAGGCAATAAAACTTTCACCTGAGGGTCTCTAAGTGATTCCTAATCATTAGCTAATTCATCTTCCTAACAGAACACTACACCTATTTTAGAGATGCATAAAGAAAGGCGCATTTGTAATTTTAATTATTTGATTATCTCTCATTGTTGAATATTCTAATTTCCAGGCTGAAGCATTATGACTAGTTAAATCATTCCCTTCCTTATAATCCCTAAACCAATTTCTAAAGTAAAAATCAAATGAAGTAAGCAACCAAATGAAGGCAAGCCACATCTATAGAGAGAAAAACATTCCTTTTTACCCCTAGGGCCAGTTCTTTCCTGTTTGTTCTGTTGCCTCTTCTGTGTATCTGATGACTACCAAAAATGTTCCCTTCCAGATTTTTTGCAAGCTTTTACTTGTAGAGTCCTATTTGCAGAGTCTCAGCTTCTCCCAAGAATTTAGCACATCGCAGGCATGTAGGTCCTATTTTCTTAGCACTTTCCTAACCTTTTCAGCTTTATACTAAAACAACAAATTAGCATTCACCTTTGCCAAACCCACAAATATTTGTACAATTAAGCAGCAAGCTTTGTAGTTAGAAAGGGAAGACAGCTCCTTTCCGTTTTGTGGCGCCTAGCAGACATTATTTGGGGGTGTGGGAGGTTTGGCTAGATTAAGTCAGATTAGCAACATCGGATAAATAGGGCCACTGTCAAGACATTTAACGATACATTGAAGCATTCTGTGTAAGGGATGTATAATTCAACAGCTTTGATATGTGGTAGTTCTCAATAGCTCTCAGGGAGGTGGCCTGTAGAGAAATTCATCAGTAAGTCATCGGAACAAGAGATTTTACTGGATTTTAGAAAATTAACAATCAAGGAATATGCCCGAGACAAAACCCAAAGCTCTAGAGGGTAACCAAGGTGAAGGCTTTCTGACCCCAGACCCTATTAGACTTCTTTATTTCCAGGGATATTGTGAGCTAATCTTCTGTAAATGATCTATGCCCGCTCTATTCATGGCTGCATCCTGACTAGGCCACCTTTGGTTTCTGGTCCCCTGGCCAGTCACAATGCTAAAGCAGGCCAGAGTTCAATGGAAGCCAGATCCCATGCCTGGAGCAGATATGGTGTGTAGCTTCGGTTTCCTGTTCTCATTCTAACAGTAACTGTTTCTTTGCCTCATTCTTTTTGGAGAGGTGGAGTGTATTATCTTTAAGATGAATGTCTCTATTTTAAAACAGGGCTTTGTGAACAAAGCCTCATCTCTATTAAGGGAAAGCACAGAGGGGAGGCTGGAGCAGAGCAGAAGTCTGAGTGGAGGAGAAGAGTATATTTACTGTAGCTGTATCTTTGGAAGTAAGAACCTATTTGAAATACAGTCCAAAAGCAAAACAGTAAGCATAGTTGTATTCAGAGGACTCTGGTATCATAATTTACTTGGGCCAGAGGAAGAGATCCCTATGTAAAAACACATGGAAAGGGAAAAAGGAAAACATTCAACCAAATAGAAGAATTTTGAAATTTGAATGTGAGTCAGCCAGGCCCATCCTGAAATGTCATCAGACTTGTAAGCTTTAGAGGAGTTGTTCAGTTTTCTTTGACCAGCCAGGGTGAGCACAATCCACCTCTATTGCGTTTAGTCCTCACCAATCTTTCAGATTCTCTTCATTACCAGAAGAAAGGAATGGAAGTTTCCTGCCCACAGCAAAACATTGAGATTCCCCAATGGACAGCTGGTGGGAATCTGTTATTTCCCAAGCCTCCTTTGCTTAACAAACTTGGTCACAATCTTTTATTCTGGGAGGAAGAAAAACCACTACATTAAGGATTTTCTTAAGGATTTCTCATGACAATCTAGTACTGGTTTTCATGAAAATAGTGCTTTTGCATTTTCTAATAGCCCCTAATTTTTTTAGAATTAGATAACAAGCAGATGTAGGAAGAACAAAATAGTCTCCCCTGATGTATTTGAAACCACCCTTCCCCTTCTTTTCAGTGCCTTGGCCACTGTTAATCAACTATGGTGTGTACCTGATGGCTCTTTTCCCAAGGTGAGCTTGTATCTCAGATGGTTCTTTAATGATCTTCCAGGAAGGTCTTCTATCTTCTGATACAATGGACTCTGGTAGCACACACCACCAGTCACCCAGAATGTCTAGCCTTTTAAAATTTCTAGTAGTGAGCAGAATTTCAACTCCAGCTGAGACTCCCCAGTGCTTATCCAATGTAGAAACCAAAGAATTCAATGGGCTTGACTCCAAGTATGCAGACTTGCATGACCACAAGTGACTGCATCAGGCATTCTCCGGGGCATAAATATGATAATAAGACTGAGAGCCAACATTTCTTAAGTCCTTCTTACGTGCCAGTTTGATTACAGGTGTATTGTATTCATTGATTACAGTGTATAATAGATTCAACCTCATAGAAATTAAGTGATTATTATTATTTCTTTTTAATATGGGGGAAACTGAGGTATAGAGAAGCTAGACAACTTGCTCAAGGTCTCATAGCCAGTAAGCAGCAGGGCAAGGATTTGAACCAAGTACTTCAGTACCAGAGCCTGCCCTTTAATCACTGTGATATTCTGAGGAGATTCAAACATGTTATTTCAGATAATTGAAGCAGTTAGCTTTGTACACTGGTGGTATCGTAGCCAATGAGGTTTATTCAAGACATGATTATTGCTAACTGAAAACTTTTCCCAATACCCTGCCATGATGACTTGAAATACAGTCAGCATTGGCAATTTTTGACAGTCTCTGTGGAGACTGGATTAAAAAAAAAAGCAGTTATACCTAAGTCAATTGACCCTGAAAATGGAGATTTCCTACCTTTTCCAAGGCTTTCAATGAATTCCTAGAAGCAGTAGTCTTTGAGCAGTCCCTCTGTAGGTTGTCACAGGTGCTGACTTTCACATGGAGCACCCATCATATTCTGCATAACAGAAGCCAAATTCAATGCTCTACAGTGATGGAAATATCCATTCAAAAGGGAAGTACACCTCTCCCTAAGAGTCCTAAACCTTTATAAAGATTCTTCCTTATGTCATCAGTAGTGAATGTCCCACTGCTTTTTATATCACTAGAAAGGAAAACTTTGCTGTAAATAGTGGCTCTCTCCTTAGTGGCACACTCCTATACTGCTTGTACATTTCCTGCTTCCCACAATTCATGATAGAGCCTCTATGTGCTTGGCAAAATTGTCCAAACATTGCAGTCATTCCTAATACCTACAAAGCAGCTAAAGAATAGAAAAGATCTATATACCTGACAGATTTGAGAGCAGAAAAGGTCACAGCCTTCTTTTTGGTTTGCTTTGAATAAATCAAATCCAGGTCTAGCTATCACTCAAAATTATGAGATTTATCATTGGTCATTTTCCATTTCAGGGACTATCTTCCCCTATCTCTGCTCATAGAATATCTTAGTGGTTTACACAGTCCAGAGTACTAAAGGAGGATCTAGGTTCTCAGGCCACGGTGTAGTTTTTGCTCAAACCTGGATGGATTATTTAAAATTCTAGCTCTGTTGTCATTCTGCTCCTTGCATGCCAAGCTCAGCCTCGGGAACCTTTGGTGCCTGAAGGTGCAGCCCACATGGGTACCATGCAGTCAACCTCACATGGTGGTCACATGGCAATCTAGCTTCTGCCCCTTGTATTACTAAAAATTTTCTATCTTCCTTTTCCAGAATCTAGAGTCATTGAGAGTCAAGCTAATGTTCTTAATGTTTGAAATATACAGCCTCCTTTATAACAGGATGGCAAAAACACCCTGATGGAGCTTCTCTCTAGTCACATTGCTCTTTCTCCAAGACACAAGCCTGCCTGCAGCACGGCTGGTTGAATGAACCTAAACTTCAGGGACTGTGCTTCTTGAACCACTCAACCCAAACCCAGCTCTTCCTAGTCTCATGGTGATTTCCCCCAGGGACCTTCTTCCCTGACTCTAGGCCCAAGAGTCACAGGCAAAATATTTTCTAAGCACTTTGTATGTTTTAAGTCACTTAATCCTTCACATAATCCTATGAAGTAGGTACCATTATTGTCTCTGTTTCATAGATGCAAAAAACTGAGGCATACGATGCTTTTGTAACTTTAACAAGATCAAACCAAGGTAGAACCATGATTCAAATTCTCTACTTGCTCTGAAATGTTATCATCTTAGATGCTGCATCTGAAATGTTACGAGACACAATGTTATCAACTCCCCACATCAATAGTCTATCTCAGTAAGGCAAAGTCAGTTCTTTGGGAACATAATACTGGCTCTGACCAGAGAGAAAGGAGATACTGCATTTCATTTCTGATGAGACTATAGCAGAAAAAAGTTCACCACCACTGCAGTCTACTGGTGAATTTCTCAGAACATTGTTGTTTTAGAGAAACAAATGTCTCTAAGGCCTAGAGTCAGGCAAGATAGTCTCTGAGAAATCACCGTGAGAGTAGGAAGAGCTGGTGCTGAGTTGAGTATTTCAAAGAGCATAGTCTCTGAAGCTTACGTTTAACCAGCCATGCTGTGGACAGGCTTGCAGCTTGGAGAAAGGGCAATGTGAATGAATATAAAGAGCCCTAGAGTTCCAAGCAAATGTTTTAAGCTGGGTATTGTCCTCTGTCACATCTTGAAAGAGACATGGAGGCCTGGGTACAAATATGTATCAACATCAGCAACCACAACCAAGGCGGGAGGCTAAAGCTCACTACAGCAGGGCACGCCATAGGCTGTGGTACCTGTGCTAGCAGCCACAAGGGATCTGTTGGGACTATCCTGGTTTTTGTTTTAATACCAGTCCATCAGCAATGGTGGTAGCTCATTACGGAGTTATTAGTTTCTGGGAGCCGTGTAGCCCATTAGGCTCAGTAGGTATATCTGATAGCTCTATTACTGCTGTGAAACCAGCAGGGCTGTTTATTATAGGACACTTGTCACCCTTTGGGTTTCCTTGACTCAAAAATATAGTGGACTGGGAGAGAATTTGCATTAGAGGATTTGAAAAGAGAAGACGACTTTGGAATCCAGCAAGCTTGGGTTCAAATTCTGACTCTGCCATTCCTTCACAACTTGTCCTTGGAGAGAAATTATTATACTTCTCTGAGCTTCCATTTCTAACTTATAATTTTGAAATCATGTGGCCTATCCCTGTGATTGTTGTCTGTATTTAGTGAGATAATGTTTTCTAATTCACTGACTCAATGTTAATGTCTGGTGTATCATCAATATCCAATGGATAATAGAAGCATTATGATTATTATTTCTTAAATATTCCCTAACCTTATTTCCTTATCTGTAAAATGGTTTTGCCTCATGAAGCTGTTGGGAAGAATAATTTAAAATGATTATTAATTCAAAGTGCATCGAAGAGAAAGCACCCACACTGTACAGATTTCTAAAGGCAAAATAAGCGCAGTGTCTGCATGCATTCTCTTCCTCAAATGCCCCCTAGATGATTTTTCATGAGGTCTTGCTGCAGAATGATTCAATTTTCTCATTTTGGTGAAACCTTTTGGAAGTAGAAACACAATGAAACCTTGTTATGTTGCCTGTCTATACCCACATTCAACATTTTCCTGCCTGTAATGTTCCCAGTTCCTCGATAAATGAGAACAACATAGTCTTCTGTGTATCTTTTGGTCTTCAAAGGACTCTTCTGCCTGCCCCTGGCGTAAAGACCTCAGACATGTCTTTTTATACTGTTATTTAGTGAAGACCTGCATCCTTTTTAATAGCATTGGCCTCCCTAATGTCGTGGGTTCTAGCTACCTTTGCAATCGTGGTATATTTTCCATTGTTCATGTGCAAAGCGAATGTGTTGTCAGCTTCCACTGCAGCTGCTCAACTTCAGAAAAGAAAGAAATGTGAAGGTCCAAGAAACATGCTTTAAATGGACTTCCTTTTTTTCACCCTTGGGTTGAATCTTTGACGATCAACACTTACAATTACATTTTGGCTTTAATACGATCATAAAGCGGTAACTCTGTTTTTTTTTTTTTTTCAATTTTATGTGCTTCAGTGTAATTGTGATACTGCTGATCATTTGTTTGACTCATGCCACACAAATTTGACCTCTAGGCCTCTGTGCCAATAAAGGATTTAAACTTAAAGCAGAAGAACAGTTAATTAGTCTTCATTTATAACAATCTGATGAGTTGGGTTAGCTTTGAAGCGAAGAGGTTCAATTGCCAAAGAAGGATGCTAATTTTATACATTACACATGGAGAAGGTCCAGAAATAACCTTCTTACAACATGCTACTTGAAGCCAAGCATTTCAAATCCACTAAATTAAAAGGTATAAGCATCCATGGTCAAATTTAGAAAGCTACTAAAATCTCATGAACTCTTTTTGAAAGCCTATTTGGAGCAATGCTCTCCGCTTGGCTTTTACTGAAGTCCAAATACATAGGTTAAAAACTATATGGTTTTTAATTTACATAAGCTTACTAAAGTTGTCCTGTCCTTCTTGGCTGTTAAGAGGATCATATTTTTTAAGGTTATAATTTATTGCTGCTCACTAATTCCATGGCATGTTACATTCAAAAGTATTATGAGAACATACAGAATGGTGTTCCCTAGGGACTACTTTTCACTTGACTGAGATAGCCTTTGCACTCTAAACCCTATATGAAAAGGCCTTTAATAGACTACTGTGTCTGCTTTGGGAGTCTAATTCAGTGAGACAAAATGGGATATAATGTGAACATGGACATACATAAAGATATGCATGTCCTTGAGAAGAGGGGAGTTACTAATCAAACGAAGTTATGATATAAAAAATAAAATCAATATATTTAATGAATAAAATAATGATTTTATTGAGCATTAGTCATTTACCTGCTATATCTATATTGTCTAATTTATTTCTCTCAAAAACGCCAATAAGCTTGGTTTTGCTATCCCCACTTTATAGATTGGTAACTAAAACTCAGAACAGGTAACTTGTCAAAAGTTGCAGGAGTTATGGAATCTGAATCCTGTTGTATATAGATGATATCAGCACAGACAGGGCAAAGGTGGGAAGAATAGGAAGATATTCTCCCTCTTTTTTTCAGGGAAGGTGAAGTGAGAAGGCAAAGAGTTACTGGGAAATTTCTCACTTTAGTTACATGTTTAGTAAATTTAAATATTATAGGAAAATTTTAATGGTTCCAGGGACAAAAATGACATGTAAGTTCACAGAAGTCCCATATTTTTATTAAATATGCATTGTAAAATTTCAAGTGTAAATACTAAAATACAGTTAGACTGTATAACTTCCAAACTAACAAAAAGGGAAACATTCAATAAAAAAGAAAATGCCAATTTTTTAAATGCAAGAAAGTAGAAGAAAGCATAGAAGACAAAAACCACAGAAGAAAACATGGTAGATTCAAATGTAAACACATTAGTAATTGCAACAACTGTATTTTGACAAGATTCTTAAATTAAACGCAGAGATTTTCAGTTTGGATTTTCACAGTTTGGTATATGCTTGTTATAAGACAAAATCCAAAAAATAAAAATATGGAAAGCCTATAAACAGAGGGATAGAAAACATTCAAAATACTAACAAAAGGGAACTGTTATAATTGTAATCATAACAAACTAGATGTTAAAACGAAAAGCATTCTTAAGGGTAAGGCAGTTATATACATTTTCTATTGCTCTGTAAAAAAATTATCACAACTTGGGCTTAAAAAACACCAATTTATTATCTCACAGCAGACATGGGTCAGAATTCTGGCACAGCATGGCTAGACTCTGTGCTTAGGATCCCGAAAAGCTGATATCAAAGT